AGGTAGCACGTGCAGTAGGCCCTGAGACCAAGCGCAGCAACGGTTTTATCCAAGGTGACTCCTGGTCCTTGCAGCAAGCACTTGCTTTGATGTCGATATGGAGCTACGCCTTGGAGAAGGAAGCGGAGGTCAAAGTTGCTTCCTTCATCGACGATGGAAATTTCAGAGCAGAAGGACCCAATCATGCCATTCGGACCGCCAACGCAACGACTATTTCAGTAGAATTTGATCGACATTCAGGTACACAAACCAATGTTGACAAAACCAAGCACTTCGCCACATCGATCAAGGCAGAAAAGGAGCTTCGGAACCATCTCCATGCCCAAGGACATGACCAAGCATCGATTGCACGCAATTTTACCCTGGTGGGAGGAGAGATTTGCACGCTGGGCATGTGCCCGCAGGTCGAGAGACGCCGACGGTACACTTCAGCATATCGTGTGACACAACGCACTGGAGCAGCCCCACTTGGACTTCAGGGAAAGCAGCGTCTCTTGGCCACAGCGGCCTTGCCACGTCTTGCGCCAGGGATGGAATACCGACGACTGCCGAAACACAATCATCTCAATTTCAGATCGGCGGTGATAAAAAGTACGTGGCAAAGAGGGAGAGCGCATCGTTCCCCAGCCATGACTCTGACTCTTGTTACTCGAGGTCACCTGCTTGACCCTGTGCAGATCGCCACTGCCCAACCGCTGGTGATAGCAAGGCGACTCTTCTCCAGCCCGAGTGCACCACGACTACTACGACGTGCGAAGCAGTGTTGGGATATTTTGCAGCATCGAGTGACATGTAACGCGAAGGATAACGACACTGGGCCAATCAACAGAATCCGCTCAGTCTTGAAAGACCTGCAATGGACATGGCCAGCCTTCGACTACTTTGAGAGGGCAAATCATCAAAGAGTTTACCTCACCAAGCACCCTATGGGCTGGCGGCAGCATACACTGAGAGAGGCTATTCGACGCTTCGCGTGGTGAACCGACCTCCAGTTGCAAGAACGAAAAGATATGAAGGGCTGCTCTGCTGGCCTGAACTACCATGCGACCACGTCCATATTGCGCAAGGCTGACCGCATCACCAAGCCTGACGACGAGGACGTAGATGACGAGCCGAAGGAGCAGCCACCGCTGCTACTTGGAGCTTCGGATATTCCAGTACCCAAATTAACTACCAAGCAGGTTCCTTTCTTGCGTGCTTATCTACAAGGTGGCACCATCACTGGACACAGACTGCATTATATCACTAAGAACCCAGCCCACATGAAGTGCCCGTTCTGCCTTGCCCCCGACGAGACCATGCAGCACATCATATTGGACTGCCCCAGATGGGAACCACAACGAAGAGCACTCCTGGACAGCTACACGAGAGAGGAACTTCTTGCGCTACCGACGTGCCTTTTGTGCTGTGGTCAACTTCCAGACAAGCCAGAATACGACGCTTTCGCATGCGAACTACTTCCAGATGATCCTCCACTACATGCACCGCCACACCACGCTGACGGCGAGAACGAAGTGGGAGACAATGAAGATGACATTCTTACCAAGATTGATGGTTTCACTGTGGTAGCAGGTGACGGGTCATGCCCTGGCCAGGCGTCCGACTTGCGCCTTCGCAGGTCGGGGTATTCACTATACTACGGCAGGGGGCATCCTTGCAACATTGAAGTACCCCTACGCAGTGTGGCCCAAGGCGCTCAGCGCGCCGAGGTCGCAGCACTCCGCCATTTCGTGGCATGGAGCTGGGGCAAACAGATCTACTTGACTGACAGCAGTTATTGTGCTCGCAATGTTTCAACACTTCTCAGAGGGGAAGCATTGCACACCAAGCAGCATACCGACCTCTGGCAGGCCATAGAGACTGGACGCAATGCCAAAGGACGAGAGCTATTTCGGATTCAGAAGGTCAAAGCTCACCGACGTGAGCGGGACATTCCAGAAGATGAACGACACCTGCGGGGGCTGAACAATCAAGCTGATGCTGGGGCTGTACGCGCGGCAAGGTCTCACGGCCTACCAGATGCGATTCGGCAACAACATCGACAAGAACAGAAATTATCTTATCTCCTCCAGCACACTGCGACGGCCATCCTCATGCACCGAGCGAAGGAGCTGAAAGAGATGGGAAGGGGCTCGCATCATGCCAGGTGCGAGCAGGCCCAAGCTATGGAGCGAGCCGAGCTTGACGGTCAACAGCATGTGCAACCTGATGAGGACAACGGAGAGGACCCGTGGGCGCATCTGGGCATGGACCCGGACGACGAGCAACCCCAGCCACCGCCACGACGAGCCTCCTCGCCACCACCTCAGCCAGCACCTTCGGCCCTGCCACCTCTACGACGGCGCCGACTAGTATGCAAAGCACCTCCAGAAGCAGACCAAGCAGCAACTACTCCCTGGGGGCCCAGCTCGTCATCGAGCGCGAGGCCTCAGGTGGCAGCGACTGGTCTGGCCCTGGATCAATCTATCACGAACCCGATGACATGGTCCCCGAAGGCTGCCTTTCCAGGTTACCAATGGGATCCGATCCAGCCGTACATACACGAGTGGAAGTTCAAGCCGATCCTACCCGAGACGGTTGCTCATCGAGCTTGGTACTATCAGCAATCCCTATTTCCAGCAGTGGTATGGTATTTTTCACAACTGCAGTGGGAAGCCGACGATACAGTGCGAGCTCCAATGTCTGTGTCCTGGGTCGAGCTTGCCATTGACTTCACTATTGTAACTGGCCTCCCTCTCGTCACTCCACAAGAGAATGCCAGTGATGCGAAGATTGTGCGCATGGCCAGATATTTCAGCACTGCAGCAACGACAATGGCTCAACTTTGCAAGTGCAAACTGGCCCCACGCGAGACCCACGCCGAGATAAGTGCTCTGATACCTCTTGGACTTCGGAAGGCTCCAGGGTTCAAATGTCGAGCGGCATTCGTGGCCCACCAGCACACGATGAAGGTGATCTACGCCTTGGCCCTCGCCTCCACAGACCGCAAAGGCAGCCTAGACGTTCGTCCTGATTGGTGCTCGCCTCCGAAACCGATCTGGAACGTCCCATGTCTCCAGGACAACATCGCCAAGACTGTTCGAGACAGTGATCTCTCTACACGGGCTATGCAATCTGTGGCAGCGCTCGCGGAGAGAGGCACCCACACTAGGAATGTTGTATCTGTCCAGAAGTTACGCAACGTGATTACCTGGACGCCAGACGAGGAGCGAGAGTTTCAAGGCCTTCAAGGACGAGCTCTCATTGATGAACAGAAACGTCTTCTCCACAACCGAGAGGCCCGACAGCAAGGATATCATGTGCTTGGCCCGCTCACTGGAGCCAGGCGGGACCAAGACCCGCACTTGTACTGCATCCAGTGTAAGTTCACCACAGCGGGTATTGGACGCTTCAGTACGTGGCCTCGCCTTCTTTGCACACCTGGAGTTATGCCGTCAGGGCCACATCAATGTGGCCAAAAGCGGACACCAGATGATTATAATCAGTTGATCGTGGAACACAACAGACGCACCGAGACACCAGGTAACCGATGCCATGTCCTACTTCCTTTCCGACAAGCACGTGTTGGCCAGGAGCTCGAGTGTATGAAGTGTTCCAAGCAGTCTGCCAAGAGGTAGTTTTTTGAGTTCTGTGCAGCCATCTGCTCGGGACGATAGCATACTGCACTACTACATTCCCCACGACCTTGAGTGTTTGACGCAGGTCGTGAAGTCGCACAATCTTACATTTACTACGGCCTTGAGTGTTTGACGCAGGCCGTGAAGTTGCTCAATTCTTATGCTGGTAATTGCGAGCCATGCTGGGCTCAGCTGTATTATTGTATGGTCCTCGAGGAAGCCCCGAATGCGAGGGAACACCTCAGGCCATGTCGCAAAGTTTTGCTCAAGCTGGCGGGACGCAAGTCCTGGGGAAGCCCCGAATGCGAGGGAACACCCCAGGCACACGTCGCCACGTTTTGCAGCAGTAATGAACACGACCTCGAATGTTTGACGCAGGTCGTGAACCCGTTCAATTATCATCATGGCCACAATGTGCTACATTGGGCCCATTTGTAACCTCCCTGCTCGGCTACGTGAGGCAGCAGGGTCTTCAACTTTCGGAAGTATGGTGCTACCGCGGACGTGAGCCAAGGTAGATATATGGACCATGTGTGGAAAACACAAGAGTTCCACTCCGACAGAGGCAGAGCAGTCTCTGGGAAAAGCTGGAAAAGCTGAAAAAAAGGCTATGAAAATACAACAAAAAATAACAAAACATAGATTTTCACTGGGATAGTCTTTGAGAAAAGCTGGAAAAGCTGGAAAATCAGGAAAACACACGGTTTCCACTACGAAAATCTTTGGAAACAGCTGGAAAAGCTGGAAAACACAGCGCTTGTCACTGGCGTAGTCTTTGGGAAAAGCTGGAACAGCTGGAAAAGCTAGGATACACACCGTTCTTCAGTGGGGTTGTCTCAGGGAAAAGCTAGAACAGCGGGGCAAGGCTGGAAAGCACAGCGTTTTTTATTGGGGTAGACTCTGGGAAAAGCTGGTACAGCTGGGGAAGCTGGAAAACACAGCGTTTCATTCTGACGGAGGCAAAGACAGAGAGAGAGAGAGAAAAGCACAAAGTGAAAGGGACGGAGAGAGAGAGAGAGAGAGAAAAAAAAAAAAAAAAAAAAAGACGGAGACGAAGACAAATCAGACCAGGATAAGAAGGAGTATGTATGGGGGATATATATATATATATATATATTATATATATATATATACATATATATATGTACATATATATATTATATATATATATATAAATATGTGTGGTTCTAGATGTGCATGTGAACATGCATATGTCTACATGTGTATATATGTATATATCCGAAAGGTCGGCGAAAGGCGATGATGGGCCCTCGACAGCGAAACCGCGCGTTCCTGGGCGAAGTGGGCTGTCAAGCGCCTATCGGCGATGAGTGGGCGACTGAGGGTAGACGCAGTTCCCCTGAGCCTATCCCCCTCCCTAACATTCCCCCTAACTTGCGGGCGGCATAAGCCGTCGGCCTCCTCTGAGCGGATCGTGCCCGGCCAGAGGCGAGGCGGGCTCACCAGGCGAGCGTCTGTGCAGTCCGCTAGGGGGCAGGAGCTGCTGGCCGAGAGCCATCTTCTCAACAGTTCTCTCGCACAACAACACCATGCGGAGGCCTCGGAGGGAACCAGCCCGTGAAGTTCTTGCCAACAGCCTTCACCACAGAAAGCTTCCGCTGCAAAAAGTGCTCGGCAAGCCAGGTAAAGGACGAGTTGCAAATGTCCACCTCCTGCGAGCTTTGCATGGAAGTGCTCTTCTTGATGGCTATCTGGACCTCGTCCTCCGGGATCCCCATCAGCCGGAAGGCCTTGTAGATGGAGGGCTCCGGGTGACTGCCCCACTCCTCGATGGTGACTGCATGCGTCGTTCCTGGTGGCAGGAGCTTCTTCCACCTGGGCGGCTCGTCCAAGAGCTGGTCCATCCGGCTCAAGGCGAAGTTCGCCGGCCCAGCGGGCCAGAGGGGTATCAGAACCTTAGGCGAAGTGGTTGTTTACGCAGGCTGCTTCTCTAGCTCGGGCGCGCGAAGCCGCTCCCAGAGGCCCCGTCCAAGAAAGCGGAGGCCCTCTCGGCTCACGAGCGGGCCAAGAGCGATGATCAAGGAGTGCCAGCCCCCTCTGGTGGGAAAGGTCGTCCTCCAAGACTAGACTAGATCAGAAAAAAAACGTGGCTCCAAGATTGCCTCGAGAGCTTCCTACCAGCTGCATGAAATAGCGAAGGCGCGCCTATGATAGCCCGAAACACTAAGGGTGGGGGGGCTCAAAAACCCCCACCTGCGGCGCTGGTGCTGGCGGCCGCCAGCAGCGCCCACGGCGGGGACGCAGCAAAGATGACCAGAAGCAGCCCAGGGGGGGGGGTGAACCCCCCCCCCTGGCGCCGGGGAGGGTGGGGGGTCCCTCCCCCCCGCGGGCGCTGGCGCTGGCGGCGGCCAGCAGCGCCGGCGCTGGCGCCGGCGACGACAGGGAAGCAGCGACGACTTCCACAGCACCGCCTCAACCCACCACCACCACCACCAACAGCACCACAACCACCACCACCAGCACAGCAACCACCACCACCACCACAACCACCACCACAACTCACCATCACCACCACCACCACCACCACAACCACCACCACTACCAGCAGCACAACCCACCGCCACCACCACAAACCACAACACCACCACCACCACCACCGCCACCACCACCACCACCAGCACCACGTCCACAAACCACCGCCACCACCAACAGCACCACACAATCACCACCACAAACCACCACCACAACACCACCACATCACCATAACCACCACCACCACCACAACTCACCATCACTACCACCACCACAATCTACCACACCACCACTACCACCGCCACAACCACCACCACTACCAGCAGCACAACCCACCACCACCACCAACCACAACACCAACACCACCACCGCCACCACCACCACCACCAGCACCACCTCCACAAACCACCGCCACAACCACAACCCACCACCACCACCACGAAACCACAAAACACCACCACCAAAACAACACCACCAACCACAACCCACAACCACCACCACCACGAACTACCACCACCACCCACCGCCACAACCACCACCACCACCACCACAACAAACCACCACACCACCACCACCGCCACCACCACCACCACCACAAACCACCACCACCACCACCACCGTCGTCCTCGTAGACGCCCCCCGCGACCGTCGCGGGCGCCGGCGCCGGCCCAGAAATGGAAATCGTCGTCGCCGCCGCCGTCGCCAGCCGCCGCCGACGCAAGCGCCGGCCCGAGGAGAGGGGAAGCAGGGGGGGGGGTGAAACCGCCCCCCCTTGTCACGGGAGGGGGGGGGGGAGGTTTGAACCCCCCCTCCATCCAAAGGGGGGGGAGGGGGGGCCGCCTCCGACCCCCCCCTCCATGCGCCCACAAAACGCGCTCTTTCCCGCCGCCTGCCCGAGCGCCCCAGAGAAGCGCCTGGCCCGGGCCGAGCTGGCAGGGGGCGCCCTGCTGGCGAAGGCCTCCTCTGCAAACCTGCGCATCCGTTCCCATCGCGCGCCATTCTCCGAGCGGCTCGAAGCGAGGCCCCCCCCCGATGCCGCGCGGTGAGTCGCTTGACAATACCGATGCCCATCTCCGCATATTCGCCTCGCTGTGGGAGCGGGCGAAGACGCCGATGGGAGCCGCCCAACCTGCGCGACCGTTCCCGCCAGCCGCCACAACTCGTCGGCGCGCGCGGCCGTCTGGCCCGCCGGTCGCCGCACCCGCCCTTCGCGCTGTGTCGGGCCCAGCCCCTGGCCACCAGTGGCAGGCTGACAGGGGCCGCCAATGCGCTTCCTCTGCGCCCGTCGACCGACGGAAGCGGCCCCTAGCCATGCTCGGGGGGGGCACAGGCCCCCGAACTTCTTCCGTCCAAGCGGCTGTCGGCCGACGGCCACCGCGCAAGGCGCCGGCCCGTCCGCGCTGCCTGCTGCCCAAGCTGCCAGGGGGGCCCTTCCACGGGCCCCCTGGCCCCGCTCTGCACGCGGAGTCCGCGGGCCGCGGCTGACCCGCGGAGCCGCGTCCTTTGCGGGGCTGAGCTTTGGCCTATGGCACCGATGGCGTCGCCGGCGCGCCCTCCTCCTCGGAGGTCGGCCCGTCCTCGCCCATGGGCCTCGCCCCGCTGAATGCCGCATCGCCGAGTCGCCGCCTCAGCTGCTCTTCGCACAGCGCACTGAGGTGCAAGGCCCCCCCCCCCCCCACAGCTGCCCGCACTCACCTGGTGCGATTAACCGCCCGATCAGCTCCACGCAGCACTTCGCGGCCCCGGCGACCCCCCTGCTGACGCCTGCGCTCGACAACTGACCGAAGAAGCCCTGCGCCCCCTGAACCAATCGCCGACCAGATTTTCTGACAACCCCGATCATTCCGAGCTCGCGCCCCTGCATCCGTGGCGCCTCCTCCATCGGGCCCCCGCCCTGCGTGACTGGCGCTTGCCTGCGGGTGGCCCAAGTCGCGCGGCACCAGCACGTCCGCCTCGCGGGCGGGAGCACTCTGCAACACTGTCCGCATCGCCACGGCTGCCCTTCCTCCTCCGACGGACCGCGCTCTCTGGCTGCGGTGGGCCAGGCAGCTGCTCCGGGGAGTTGAAGCATGTGCGAGCGAAGGGTTCCCTCTGCCTCCTTGGCCGCGCCTCCGCCACCCTCGACACGGACGCGGAGGTCGCCCCGTTCTCGTCCGCCATCAGCTGCGCCCCTTCCGCGCCCGCGCCAAGGACGCCGCGGGCACCCCCTGTGGTTTTCAGCCGAACGTGCCGAGCGAGGCGCCTGCCCCTCGCCCAGATGTCCGCGGGCTTCGCGGCGGCCTGCCCCCCCCCGTGCGTCGGCGGGGCCCCCGTCCGGAAGGGCCGAGTGGAACCCCGTCGACGCACGCAACCGATGTCGCCTCGCTGCCGCTGCCAGGCCTCGCCCCATCGGCTGGCGCCCCAGGCACGCACCCCATCGGAACTGGGGGGGGGCACCTGACCCCAGACTGGCCAGCACCGAGGTCGGCGGCGCCTGCCCGGCCGACCCCGCGCGGTCTCTTCTGACAGCGATGCTCTGCCCTGGCGGGCGCGTCCGGGGCGGGCCCGGCGCTTTCCTCAGCGGGCCAGCTTGCCCCTGCCCTTGAACGCTCTGATGAGGAGGCCAAGTGCCGCCCAACACTTGAATTTGAAAGCCACCCTGAGGCCCTCTGGCGCACCCCAAGCCCACCTGCCTGGGCGATCTTCGATCAGTTCGAAGCCGACCATTGTTCGTCTGCCGCCCCCCCACTGACGACTCGGACAATCCCTTGCCGCCCTGCGGGAAGCCGCTGCGACATGCTGGCGCGGCGCCCCACCCACGCGGGCGCACGGCTGCGCCGCGCGCGAATGCCTGCGAGGCCCGCCGCGAGGCCTGCGCGCCTCGAGGGGGGGGGGGGGGGCGGCCTGCGAGGCGCGCCCAGGCGGGCCCCGCCAGAAGCCAGCATGGCCAGCATCAAGCAGCCGCGAGACTTGCGGCGAACCCGCTGCCCCGACCGTGCCACGATCTGACAAATAGGAAGCACGCGCGGTCCCGAAGCCCTGCCCGCCCACCACTGGACCCATCACCTCCGCGAGGGCGCGCGACTGGGCGGGCGCCCGTTCGCCGCGGGAAGGCGGGGGGCGCCCACAGGCCCCGGGGTTTCGCGGCTGCCCGCGCAGCAAGCGGCTGCGAAACACGCGACGACCTCGTTGTTCCGACGGTGCCGCGATCGGACAATTGATTGGGGGGGAAGCGCGGCCCCGCGGCCCTGCCAGTCTCCTGTCGAGCGCCCTCCCCCACCAACGGCGGGAGGGGAGGAGGGGGCGCGAACGGGCGGGCGCTTTCGCGTCGGGAAAACGCCCACCAGTCGACGGGGATTCGGGACCGCCCTGGAAGCGCGCGGACGGGCACAAGCGGAGGCCTCATACCAGGGTCGCGCGACAGGTCTCGGCGGGCGGGGAGAGCCCACGAATGGACGGGCGCCGTCAATGTGGGAGGGCGCCCACCGGACGGCGGAGCTGGGGACTGCCACGCGGGCGCGCCCCTTTCTGCGGCCCCGCCAGGCTGAGAAACAAAGCACGAAGAATTTGGTGCCCGCTGCGCACGGCCCGCCTGCTACTAAGCACGAGGCGACCGCTGCGCCCGACGCGCTCTGGGCCCCGTAGCGCACATCTGACGCGTTTTCGCGCCGGCGAGGCCCCCGACCCAAAAGGTCGCGCGGAGCCCCGCCCGCGATGGCAAGCACTTGCGCTGTGCCGCCTGAGCCTCGTGGCCAACTGGCACCGCGCTCTCGCCCCTCCTCCGCGATCCTTCGCCTCGGCCACCTCTGCCTTCTTCCTGCGCGCTGGCATGGCAGGCGTCCGCCACGCCCGTCGCAGCGCCGCCGCAGCGAGGCGCCAAGGCGCAGGCCCAGAGGCCAGCTTCAGCGCACTGCTATTCGGAAACAGCCGAACGCCTGAGCCCAAGTAGCCACGAGCGTCGGACGAGGAGAAGGACACGCAGTCGTGTAGGCACAGGGGGGCCTCTGTTAAGGACGAGCAGAGGGTTTCACGACGGGTGGCGGCAAAGGAAATATGAAGCCCATCAGGTGAACGTGCTGAGCTGAGGTGCCTCATCGCCAACGAGCTGCAGAGCCGCAATACCGCTCATATCACAGTCCTGCTCACAAAATTCTCACCCCGACGCCGCAGATGTCGTGGAGGGGCGAAGAGCCCCATGGATGGTGTACGGCTATACGGCAACACATGCCGCGGCGCACATGACGGACGGAGGCGCCAACCGCTCGTGTCCACGAGTCCGATCGATCGCAGGTGCTGGATCATGAAAGGATCGCCTAACTCGAGCGGATGCGGCTCCTACGGAGGCACTTGGACGCGCTGGCGGTCGACAAGGAGGAGCTCCAGGTGGGGACCCGTCG